AATACCAGAGGCGCAAAACACCAGCTACTGGTAGACCAACCAGTCGCCCGAGACTGCAAGACTAGGCTGACCAGCCTGTGCACTGCCTGGATTGATTACAAGAAGGCCTATGACTCAATGCCCCACAGCTGGATACTGGAATGCTTAGAATTGTACAAGATCAAACAATGGTAGACACGAACGATCATAAGGGAACCATATATACATGAAGTAATCAAATAGGAAACTCAATGGGGATGTGGCCGTACAAACACTAGAGGCGAACTTCAAGCCCATAGCACAAGTCACCATCAAGTGTGTCAAATCCCCACACCACCAGGATATACAGCAATGACATCAGAATGTTGTTCGGACTGGAGAAGTGTAGTCAGATGATAACAAAGAGAGGGCAGAATGTCAGAACTGAGGGGATTGAACTACCAGAAAGCAACATTGCAGACATAGAGGACAGCTACAAGTACCTGGGGATCCCACAGGCAAATGGAAACCACAAAGAAGCCGCTAGGAAAGCTGCAACCACTAAGTACCTGCAGAGAGTCAGGTAAGTCCTGAGGAGTCAGTTGAACGGTAAGAACAAGATCCGGGCTATCAACACCTACGCCCTGCCCGGGATAATAAACTGGCCAAAGGGGAGATAAAAGCCACTGACATCAAGACCAGGAAGCTCCTGACCATGCATGAAGGGTTTCATCCATACAGCACCCTGAGGCTGTATGCTAAGTAGAAGGAAGGACTGGTGAGTGTCAGCACCACAGTCAAGGATGAGACAACAGACATCCACAAATGCATCAGGAAGATGGCCCCAACTGACAGCGTGCTCAGTAAATACCTCAGGCAGCAGAAACCCAAGAAAGAGGAGGAACCATCATGGAGGGACAGGCCCCTGCACGGTATGTACCACCGGCAGATAGAGGAGGTGGCTGACATTCAGAAATCCTACGAGTGGTTGGACAAAGTTGGACTGAAAGACAGCACAGAGGCACTAATCATGGCAGCACAGGAACAAGCTCTGAGCACAAGATCCATAGAGGCTGGAGTCTGGAGTAAGACCTCAGGTGCAGGCTGTGTAAAGATGCCCCTGAGACAATCCTGCACATAACCGCAGGGTGTAAGATGCTAGCAGGCAAGGCATGCATGGAACACCATAACCAAGTGGCCGGCATAGTGCACAGGAACATCTGTGCCGAGTATGGCCTGGAAGTCCCAAGGTCAAAATGGGAGATGCCCCCAAGGGTGGTGGAGAATGACCGAGCTAAGATGCTGTGGGACTTCCAGATACAGACGGACAAAATGGTGGTGGCCAACCAACCAGACATATTGGTGGTAGACAAGCAGAAGAAGACGGCCGTAGTGATCGATGTAGCAGTTCCGAATGACAGCAACATCAGGAAGAAGGAACACGAGAAATACCAACGGCTCAGAGAAGAGCTCAAGAATTTGTATTTCAGCTGTTTCACATTCAGCTGAAATACACAGCAGTCTTCTGAGTCTTTAATAAATGTGAAGTTTTATCAGTAATGGTAAATGTATTAAAAGAAAGGACTCAGGATTTATAGAGCTAGCTTATATATATTTGGCTTAATTTTATCTGGAAGAGTGAATTGTTTTGAATAAGGAAGACTCGCAGCAGTCGCTTTTAAAAAAGTGACTTTTAAATTGATCCAAATGTATGAGAGACACAAGTCTTTAAGTTATTTCAGCCTCATCATCCCATCATCTCCAAGATCCAGCTGTGACAAATATTTTCCATCAGTGTGATCGACAACAACGCAACACAACAAATGACTGATTAGTAATAGTGTGTTGTTGTCTAAAGCTTTATATAGTTTTATATAAATTACTTAACTCTATTTCTGGAACAGAAAATCTATGTTTCCTTCATCTCTGGCTTAACAAAATCTGAACTGTTAGCTAAACCTGCTTCCTGAAATAGGTCCCAGAAATTCAAAGTGCATGAAATGAAGTGACAAATTAAATTCATAATAGCCAACACACCAGCAGAGAACACAGATGAACAACAATAGATATTGAGATAAAGACCGAGGGGGAAACAGTGCTATTTATACACCGATGGGTAAATCAGGAAACTGGATGCAAGAAGGTAATGAGACACAGGTGAAGATATTCAACCATCATCATTTCCAAAAATGTCCTTTTCTCTACCTCCAGAATTTAGGGCTACAGTGATTGCATATGATGACCTGAGCTCAGAAGGTTAAAGCATCCATGGCTGTGCTCAGATGGTAGGAAATGTTCATGAGAGCTTCTCTTGACTTCATAAAAATAAACTTTTTGGCAATAAGAGTGAGCTGGTGGATGCAGGAAGCTAAAAGAGTTTGATCCGCAGGGTGCTGGGGTCAGCCTTAAGGACAGGGTATTAAGTTCAGATATCCTTATTGCCTTCTTCCACACCCTGAAATTGCCTGTTCAGTGACCCAAACCAGAAGGGCCCAGAGTTGTGCTCTTTGATGGCTGTGAAAACACAACGGACCCAATCAGAGGTTTGTAAGAATGAGCAATTTTTGTGCCACAGAGAGAAAAATAGGAAAGGAAAAATGTTCCATGGAAAGTATGAGATGGGGAAGCCACACAGGTTGCTGTATATCAGTTTATAGAAATAAGACCTCTGAAATCGATTTATTTTTTTATAAAGATGATTAATGTGAAGGTGACTCTGTTCCTAGAAACCACACACTGAGCAGGACTACCTGCCTCAGCTCACCACTACTGTTAAGAAACTGATTAGGTATGAATAATTGAGTGATAACCCCGTTACTTAAGTAGATTTGTGTCTTTTCACCACATTTTCATTCCCGAAGCATCAGACTCTGCTGTCTCACCCACAGGGTCCCCTTTGGCGTCTCTATAGCAGCGCACTGGGTTTGCAATCAAACCCGACATTAAACCACCTGCAGCAATATCAGACACTTTGAGCTCTGACATTCCCACTGGGAGGATTTGGTTTCTGGAACTGTAAATTCCACTTTCAGGGGTTTCCTTTGATTATGCCATCAATTCTACTCAAGACAAAAACACAGGCCTGTGACAGGGTTATACTACGGTCACCAGGTGCAAATATTTCAACTGAAATTATAATAGTTTAAAGAAATAAACAATATGTGGAGTCCCCAGTGTTACAGTGGCACCACTCGGCACTTTATTATAACATTAAACAACAACAATGTATTAAGAATCAATAAAAGTGTAAAATGTAGACTAAATCCAACAGGAAGCTCACCTGATATAAGATTATAAGATATAAGATTATCCTGGGACATATAAGGAAATATTTTTGGTTAATTCACCAGAGAGACCCTGCATTAGAAGGTCTCGTGTTTTATCATTCACATCCCGATTGTGCAATCATGCATTCAGACATCAATAACAGTGCAGCAGATAACTGAAAAAAAATCTTTCAAAAAGTGGATACAAGTGCCAAAATTTGCAACAGAATGAGTTAAAAAATAAATCTTATGCACCACCTCTGGTAGTTGTATCCACTTCTGAGAGACTTACTTGTAATGTTAACTCATCTGCTGCACAGTTCAGCTAAGGAAGAGTTATCGGTTAACATTTTAGACAGCTAAACAAATATCAGAAAGCACACAATATGTTCCTCTGCAGTTTGGATTAGAGTCATACTGAAAGCTAAAGGCACAGCTGTTGTATTTCTCATAATAAAAAAATAACATAGTGATAAAAATGTGTTACAGATTCACTCTTAGAAGTGAGAAAGCAGTAAGAAGGAGAGGCCTGAATGAAATGAATGAAATAATTTTAAAGGTAAGCAGTGCTCATTTAAAGCTGACGTGTGTTGTCTAAATTCTTGGTAGATCTGTTAAAGCTCCACAAAAGAGCAGCACAGTGGTAAAAATTATCTAGTTATTTCATGTTTGTTTAGTTTTTATAAAGTTTTATCCAAATTTTATCTTAATACTGAACAATGCATGCAAGCTAAACTGCAGTTTTGTGGTAGAGTTTGCAGTGATGGACGATGTTAGAGTGCTGCAGGGCAGCCTGTGGTCTCCATGCAGCTGACTAATAAAATCCTAGCAGAGCAGAAACTCCTTGAACATACTGTAGCACACAGCAAGCCAGAGTATTTGTCAGATAAATTCATTAAAAATACTCCAGAAGGCACCAACGGCACAAACACCATCCAGAGGTCCAGTTCAGGGACTCCAATTAGTTGAGGTGAAGCCTAGCAGACAGCTACAGCCGTGTCAGTCACAGAGGCTACACACCAGACTTTGTGCACTGACAAAATCCAAATGGGTGAATATAAAAAAACATCCCCCATACAGCTGTTATGAAGACCAACACCAGTTTTTGTATCAGGCTCTAAACTTGTTTATTTTGCTGTAAAGTTGGACTTTTCAACATGGAAGTCTGGGGACTGATTCACTGCCTCAAGTGGGCGTCAGAGGATCTGCAGATTTTTGGTTTTCAGCTCTTGAGGTTGTTCTTTGATCTCACCTACGACCAGTGTTGGGTAAGTTACTTTAAATTAGTAACTTAGTTACATTACTAGTTACTTCTATCAAAAGTAACTCAGTTACTTCAAGTTACTCGTTACTTTCAGAGTAACTAGTTACTAGGGAAAGTAACTGTTATATTTCCACTGTAGTGTCAATACACTATTAGAGCTTATGCCGAGTCAGACTGCACATACAACAGTTTGTTTACAAGTTCACTTCTTCTTTATTGGGATCACACAGAAGTAACACACACACATAACTGGGCGTGGTGCCCCCTACTGGCGATGGCTTGCATAGCACACAATAATTCTTGGTTCATACATAACATCTCCTCCCCACTAAGCTATGCGACCGTGGCACCACCCGCAGAAACATTTCCCATAACCAAAGTAGCACCTTTTTTTTTTTTTATATTACAACATTCATGAAAACTGGAACTAATGTTGCTTTCTGTATGAATTTCTTTTTAGTTGAGAATAATGTCTCTGAACGCCAACACTCTCACTGAACTACTTAATACGCTCACCCATCACAATAACGAGCGGGTGGCTTGGTGACTCTCACTGGGTAACGTCTTACAGGCTCTGTAACCTGTGTACAGTCAGTCGGTGATGATTTAAGAGACTGGGGTGTATCTGGAGGTACGGTGGTCCCCATAACTTGTTCAACAGTCTCTTCCTGCAGAGTTGTACAAGGGTAAAGCATGGTGTCACTACCACTCTGGGCTGGTGACATCTGAGAGCTTGTCGGAGGATCCACTGTGACCTGCTGAGATACTGACTCAGGTCGTGTCAGCATCTGATCCACATGACGTTTCCACACCCCTTGGGCTCCCACATTCACCTTGTATGACACTGGCCCAGTCTTCTCCAGTACGACACCGTGCGTCCACTTGTCCTCTCCCTTCCTATAATCGCGCACCAGGACAGGCTCGCCAACAGTGAACGTCTGTCCCTGGAGTGTTGCTGTCGGCATTGTTGTTGCGCATCCTGTGACCGACGCACAGCTCCGGCCACACTGGGCTTCAAAAAATCCAGTCGAGAGCGCAGCTTGCGTCCAATGAACAATATAGCTGGCGTTTCTCTAGTTGTTGCATGCGGAGTGTTGCGATATGTCAAGAGGAACGTGTCAAGGCGTTGTTGCACAGGTGCTGTACCCCTGGAGGCTTTCAGTGCATGCTTGAATGTCTGCACAAAACGCTCAGCCAAACCATTAGTGGCAGGATGGTACGGCGCGGAGCGGATGTGTTTGACTCCATTAGCTTTCAGGAACACCCTGAATTCCTCAGAACAGAACTGCGGTCCGTTATCACTCACCAGGACGTGGGGAATGCCATGGCGACTAAAGAGACCCCGTAGCACTTGTATGGTTTTACCAACTGTGGTGCTATCCATAATATGCACTTCAGGCCACTTGGAATGTGCATCTACCACCACCAGGTACATGTGACTTTCAAATGGACCCGCAAAATCCACATGGATCCGTTCCCATGGACAGGAAGGCCACAGCCAAGGGTGTAAAGGCGCTAACCCAGGCTCTTTTTGCACACGCTGACAAGAGTGGCAGGCTTTAGCTTGAAGCTCAATTTGAGAATCAATGCCAGGCCACCAAACATAGCTGCGAGCTAAGCTCTTCATCCTCACCATCCCTGGATGTGCAGTGTGGAGCTCTTTCAGTACATGAGAGCGCAGCTTAGGTGGCACAACCACCCTCAAGCCCCACATGAGGCATCTCTGCTGTATTGTGAGTTCATGTCTGCGCATCAGATAGGGTGACAGCTCTTGATCTGTGTCCTTTGTTGCTGGAAAACGTCCAGTTATTACCATTTCCAGCACACGAGACAAAGTGACATCAGACAAAGTGTCACGTCTGATCTCGGCGACACTGACTGGTAATGTGTCCAGCTGAGATGCGTAGAATACCTCAACTGCTCCCTGTTTCTCTTTCTGTGCAAGGGGCAGAGGTAAACGTGACAGACCGTCAGCATTGGCGTGATGTGCCCCCTTCCGATACTGTAAGGTGAAATTATGTGCTGACAGAATGAGCGCCCAACGCTGCATTCGCGCAGCTGCCATTGATGGTGTACCTTTTACTGGACTCAGAATTGAGGTCAGTGGGCGATGATCAGTGAGCAAGGTGAACTTGTTACCATGGAGATACTGGTGAAACTTGCGCACTCCAAAAACAATTGCCAACGCCTCCCTCTCGATCTGAGCATAGTTTCGTTCAGCTTCGCTGAGGGTTCGTGAAGCATAAGCAATTGGCCGTTCTTGGCCATCAGGCATGACATGTGAGAGCACGGCTCCAACGCCATATGGTGAAGCGTCACATGCCAAACGGAGAGGCAGTTCAGGATTGTAGTGGGTGAGTATTTTTGGTGAGGCCAGACGTTCTTTAGCTTTCTGGAAAGCTGACTCGCAGGCTGATGTCCACTGCCATTTCTTCTCTTTACTGAGTAGCTCATTCAGCGGTTTCAGGACTGTAGCTAAATCAGGTATGAAACGTCCATAATAGTTGAGCATTCCCAGAAAAGAACGTAACTGGCTGACATCAGCTGGTGCTGGAGCTTCCATAACGGCACGCACCTTTTCTGGTGATTTGTGTAACCCTGCCGCATCAATTATGTGGCCCAGGTATTCCACCGATTCTTGGAAAAACAGGCACTTCTCTTGTTTGAGACGCAGGCCATAGTCCTCCAGCCTGCCCAAAACTGCCTTAAGGGTTCTCAGGTGTGTCTGTTTATCTGGACCACTGACGAGGATGTCATCCAGATAACAATGGGTGTATGGTAGGCCGAGAAGCACTTGATCCATAGCCTTCTGAAACAATGCAGGTGAAGGCGCCACTCCAAAAGGCAAGCGATTGAAACGGAACAGCCCTTTTTGTGTCGAAATAGTCAGCAGCTTCTTAGACTCCTCTTCTACCTCCATCTGTAAGTAGGCATTTGCTAAGTCTAGCTTACTGAAATGCTGACCTCCTGCTAGAGAAGCAAACAGGTCCTCAATGCGTGGAAGTAGGTACTTATCCACACAGAGCTGTGAATTGAGAGTGACCTTGAAAGCCCCACACAGTCTCACTGAGCCATCCTTCTTGTTGACAGGCACTATGCCCCACTGGTGTGAAGACCCCAAGTTCAGTCAGGCGTTTCAGTTCAGCCTACACTCGAGGTCAGAGAGCATAAGGCATGTTACATGGTGGACAGAATTTGGGGACACTATCAGGCCTAAGAGTCAATCTGGCTTTAATTCCTTTCATTGTGCCCAGCTCCTTAGAGAAAACGGCAGAGTGTTTCTTTAGCACAGCCTCCAGATTGTCATTTCCGCTTTGCTCTCTGGCATGGACCATCTTTAAGTCTTTCCAGTTCAGCTTAATCACTCTCAGCCACTCCCTACCAAACAGTGGTGGAGCATCCACCTTTACCACGTACAAGGGTAGAGTTGCACACTGCTTATTCAGTTCAACTTGCACCTTGATGACCCCTTCTGGTGCCAGCGGTTCCCCAGTGTATGTCTTCAGCATGATGTCAGTGGGTTGCAGCAGCAACTGACTCAGCATACTTTTGTACTGTTCTCATGGGAGCAAAGACACGCCACCCCCTGTATCCAGCTCCATCTTCATTTTCTTCCCGTTAACTACAGGCATTAGGGAGATACGTGAATATTTCTCTTTTTGTGACAAAGAATACAGCTCCAACTCACTATCAGTGTCGGGTCTGGTTCCTTCACTTTCACTCTCCTCTGCAGCAACATGATGAATTCTCCTCTTTTTGTCCTTTGCTCTGTTTTTAACTGCATTGCCTTTCAGCTCAGGTTTCCCCTCTTTCCTGTTCCAATCTTGGCTGCTTCTGGCTCTACCTTTGCACATGCGTTTCGTGTGGCCCTTCCTTCCACACTGGTGACAGTCACTGTCTTTGTACCAGCAGTCATCATCAGTATGATTCATTTTCCCGCAGCGGCGGCATTTTTCACCTCTTTGTGACAGCACTGCATTCACTTTAAGAGAGCCACTTAACTGCTGAATTCACGTGTTGCTGTCTCTGCCAACATGGCATAGTCAACTGCTTTGCAGAACGTGAGATCCTTTTCTGTCAAAAGATGCTTCTCCACAGTTTCACACTTTAATCCACACACAAATCTGTCTCGTAGAGCATCTTCCAGATACGCACCAAACTCGCAATGTTCTGACAGTCTTTTCAGCACTGCCACGTACTGTGCGACCGTTTCTTCTTCCCCCTGATTCCTCTTGTGGAACCGGAACCTTTCAGCTATTACCAGCGGTTTGGGAGCAAAATGAGCTTGCAAAACACCCACAATATTGTCATACTGCATTGTCCCAGGCTTGCTTGGCGCCACTAGATTACGCAGCAGACTGTACGTCTTGGGACCCATCACACTCAGCAGCACCGGGACCCGTTTCTCAGGCTGAATGTCATTAGCAAGGGTGTAATGCTCAAAACGTTCAATATACGTCGCCCATTGCTCACCAGCATCATCAAAAGGGTCCATCTGTCCAATCATTCCAGCCATGATGTATCCGCTGTCCACAGCCAACACTGTCGTTTTTGACTCGTCGGCGAAAAGCAGCTAGCAGCTAGCTCCGATGCTAATTCACCACGCGATCGTCCGTTTTCCGTCCGAACTCGGCCACGCAGTCAGTTCATGCTCAGGGCCCTATTTCAGGAAGCCGGTTTAGAAAACTCAGAGTGAAAAACGATACTCAGGGTTGAGTAACCCCGAACTGTCCAACTCGGAATATTCGGTTTCAGAAAGGCTGATAACAATTAGTTCAGTCAACGCGGAGTTGCTTTAACCCCAAGTTAAACGCGCGCACGAGGATACATAAAGCCCTGATTAGTGGAGCACAGATTAAGCGAGTCACCATGGAGACGGAGGGAAAGAAGGCGCGGTCAATGTATTTTACAGCGCTTGAGGCCGAAATTCTGATGGCAGCATATGCCGATAACATACAAATTTTGCGGGAAAAAAGTAACACAGCCTCAGCTGCAAAAGAAAGGGTGCATGCATGGCAAAACATAGCCGACAGAGTCAATGCATGAGTGTTAATTTAAACATTGATCTAGGGATTTCCACCCATTTAACACGTTATTTTATTATATTTTATTTTATTTTATATGTTATACATTTTATTTTGTGATGTGACGTGAGCGCAGGTGCAACCCAACAGGCCCCAAACGTTCCTGGCAGCAAGTAAAAATGAAATATAAAAATATAGTCCAAACAGGTAAGGTGTAATTGTATCATGAGCCATAGTGCTTGGTCTGTTTGTCCGATGTAAATCAATTGCAGTTAGAGGCTACATTAATTTCCCCTCTGTAAGCACTTATTGAAATTATCTGAGCACATTACAAGTACATATTTGCTTACTCTGTATGCTCAAATGTGACCCGTTATAGCCAACAGAAAAAAAGCGGAGGCCCGAAAAACAGGTGGGGGTCCTCCACCACCACCACTCACAGAGCCTGGCCACTTGGCTTCCACATTTGTGATAATGTTGGCAGCATCACATATGATCTTCACAGTGCAGAGAACACAAATTAGCATCCATTACTAATAATGAACTAATTTGTTAGTTTGAAATGCTACAGGGAACTATGTACCTGTACATTAATGCTGTGGAAAGACTTCCTGTTCACATAGTCTCTTTCATTTACTGAAGGAGCAATGATTGGAATGTGAGTGCCATCTATACAGCCAATCACGCCTGGGAACCGTGAGAACAAATGTAAAATTTAAGTAGTAGTTCAAGTATCACCACATCATAAATTAAGTTTCGTTCATCCTGATACCTGCAATTTTGTGGCATCCTTCTTTGATAAATCCTGTGGGTCTATGACCGGGGAACACCACAAACGAGTACAGGAGACGTTTCAGTGCAACTGTAACATTCCTGACTGCCCGACAGACGGTAGCCTTGGAAACGTGCTCAGCGTCACCAATATTATACAGAAAGCTCCCGTTTGCAAAAAACCGAAGTGCGATACAAATAATATGTACAGAACTGAGAGAATGTCCGCGATGTGTCACATGAGCAATATTAGGCCTGAGGATGTTATTCAAATAAATTATAGATTGTGCTGAAAAACGGTAACGTTCACACAGGAAATCATCAGGAAATGATAAAATGTCCAAACGCGCTCTAATCACTCTCTCCCGGCGGAGAGCTCTGCGGAGAATTTGGGCTTCAACATCTACTGGCTCTTCAAGGAAGGGACACGCCATGTCTGACACTTCCTACAGTCAGGTTTCCGACAAAGAGGCGGAGAACGTCAGGGTTAGTTGAAGTAAACCTGCTAGGGGGCAGGTTAGCTTCACGGAGTGTGTCGTCATAGTAACTCACTCAGAATTAATCTAAACTCGCTTTGTGAAACCGAAAACCCAGAGTTTTCGTTAACTCAGGGTATACTTACTCAGAGTTTGCACTAAACCGGCTTCCTGAAATAGGGCCCAGTAGACAGCCAAGTCTTCCAGACGTCACAACTCGTCGCCAATTTATGTTATATTTCCACTGTAGTGTCAATACACTATTAGAGCTTATGCCGAGTCAGACTGCACATACAACAGTTTGTTTACAAGTTGACTTCTTCTTTATTGGGATCACACAGAAGTAACACACACACATAACTGGGCGTGGTGCCCCCTACTGGCGATGGCTTGCATAGCACACAATAAATCTTGGTTCATACATAACAGTAACTTTGGTTTTACTCAGAATTCTCTGGTTAATGTGTTGCTTCCATAACTGGATACCCAGCAAGATTGCCAGTCTTCTAGCTTGCTTACTTACCACAAGTGCACTGTGCCACCTACCAATAGAAAGGAAAAAAATAATGTGCATATTTCCCCGAGAGAAATCCCACGCCTGATTCTATCCTGGCCTGCTTTTTACATCCAACACAAAAACTGCAGTCGTGGTGCTTTCGATTGTACTCAGAACTCGGAAATTCTGCCTTCTGAATAGGAAGATGTAGGTAACACCAGACTGCAGATGAGCTGCATACAGGGCTGGACTGGGACAAAAAAATCGTCCCGGGCATTTTGACTAGAGACTGGCCCACCATTATAGGAAAGATCATAAAGCCTTTGAATGAAAATAAACACTGTTGTGACAGTGATGTACACTGTTCTGATGCGCCAGAATGTTCTGTTCTGATGTATCAATCTATCAATTGTTTGTTGTAAGACTCAGATAATTATTGTTTTAAAAGCTAGACATTTTAAATGAGAATAAGAAAGTATTTCCTTGTGCCCCCCTTTCCCTTTTAATTCGCTACATGGACCCCTGGCAACACTTTGCTAGACCCGCCCCTGCACAGTTACCAGCTGTCAGCTACTTAGAAAACGATCCTGGTGTTATTTTTCTCTCAGAAACAGTTCATAACTTCTCTTCAACTCATTCATGTTAACTAAAAGGTAAACCTGTTTCTCCATCACAGCTCTGATGATTCAGTAAGGACATCTCCTGGTTTCATCTTCATGTTTTCCTCTCACCACATATTCAAACCGATATCATGACCAGCAGGTTTACAGCTGTGGCTCCAGCAAACATCAGCTGATACTAGAAATTAATATTAAATAAATTCTAACAACAGCTGATCAAGCTTAAACGTGCTGCTGTTGTTTACCGCAACATCCGCTGGTTTCCTGTTTCTGGCGCAAAGTGGGCGATAAATAAACAAGAGAGAAAAGCTGATCAGCTGATCATTGATCAGTTTCATGATTGAAGTAGAAACTGGAGAGGCAGGGTGAGAGGATGAGAGAAGAAGAGGCAGCTGTGCAGCGTAAACACAGAATAACTCCAGCTTTGTGTCTTTTTCATTGTAGCTGAAGCCCGGGACAAACTGCATTCCTCTTCACCTCAATACGAAACGCGTAATATTTTCTCTGAATACCAGACGATTCTGTTTTTTATGGGACGGTTGGCAACTCTAATAATTAACCTTATGAACAAAATAAAGTTCAACATCAGTAACATAGCACCCACCCAGCTGTATAGAAACTCCGTCATGCTAGCTAGTGTAACCCAGTGTTAATTTGGTTATCTGATATTGTGTGATATTTAGTATATATCTATATATCTATATTGGGTGTTCAGTTATAAAATGTTTTTCAATGATTTTGAGGTTTTTTTTATTGCTATTGGTTTGCGGCTGTTTTACGACAGTCGACTGTGGTAGTACATCCTAGCGGGAGGGGCTATGAGCTCACGTGGCTTGTAGCTGTGCCAGAGAACAAACTTGGGTGTAGTGATGTGTCGGTCGCGAACGAAATGGCTCTTAGAGCCGACTCTTTGGCGTGAACGACGCGAGCCGGCTCAGTGTTTTTTTTGTTTTTCTTTCTCTCACCCTCTCTCTTGCACTTTTTTCCACTTCACTCTGCACGCGAGCCTTGTGCTTTGCGCTGGGCAGAGGGGGGAGGGGCAGTAGTTACACTGGCAGAAACACAGGAACAGAGCAGGAGGGAGAGACAGAGAAAGAGAGCCAGGGACAACAATGTCACATTAGAAAGGTATAGTAATCATCCACAACTATATTCAGT